AGTCGAGCCTCACTCTTCAAATAACAACAGTTTCTCTCGCTGATTCAGCGCAAGAAATAATAAAAAAGAATCGCTATTCTGCACATTTTTCGAGCGCCGCGACTGGCTTATCACATGGTACGAATTGGGGACCGCCATTGGCCGCTGGGCACCTGTATGTGCTGTGAAACCTATTTGCGGGATCCATGTTAAACCTATTTGTGGATCCAGTTAAAAGAGGAGGAGAGGTTGAGGAAATAGCACCTTTGCCTGCTAGTTATGCCAATTCGTAATCACGGACTACGTAGTCAAATCCACATCCACATGAAGTTTCATTCATTGGCTTAGCGTACCCGTTGCTGCTGCACATGCTCACGTGTGTGGAGCGGTAGCAGTCGCTGTGTGTGCTTGGTGCAATATCAACTGTGTGTAGTGAACGTAGTCTGATTTGTCTGCCCTGGACACAATTCGCTCATTTTTCGGCAAGCACAATGACGACATGGCAATGGAGCCCTGCCGCGGTGGTCTAGTGGCTAAGGTACTCGGCTGCTGACCCGCACGTCACGGGTTCGCATCCCGGCTGCGGCGGCTGCATTTCCGATGGAGGCGGAAATGTTGTAGGACCGTGTACTCGGATTTGGGTGCACGTTAAAGAACCCCAGGTGGTCGAAATTTCTAGAGCCCTCCACTACGGCGTCTCTCATAACCATATGGTGGTTTTGGGATGTTAAACATCACATATCAATCAATGACATGGCAATGGACCACTTTTTACAATGCGAGTCAAGAGCTATGAAACTGCTGCAGGGCAAGGCTAAGCAAAGTAAGATTACAGACTTTTGACAATAAAATGTGTTTTCTTTTTGCACCAACGCAACTCCCTTAAGAGCGAAACTTTAAGCCTTCCTCACCAATTCCATTATTGCGAGTTTCAACTGCATTCGAATTTGCTTCACACCAGAATATCGCCATTTGCACAGTTCTAGTGTTAACATAAACATTATTGATATAGGTTTATCAGTGTGAAATTTTCTGTGATTCCCTTAGCATTAAATATAATAGTTCGGTTTTGGCTACAGTGACCCATTTGCAAAGCATGCTGTTACATAAAATTTCCATCAGTGTAACATAACTAGTACATGTAAGGTCAATCTCTAAAGTCTAAAACAAATTAAGGGCAGAATTAGCGATGAGCCCACACCACTCCTGGAATAACGACTGGCTTTTTAACAGTGAAGCTGTTCTAGGCTGAGGTTTTCATGTCTAGAATTGTAGTAGCACTAATCATGCGGCCTTGTATTGTGGAGAGAGTGAACCCCAGTAAAAAAGAAAGGGCTGTATGCACTGAGAGAGGCGAGATTGCGGGCGGAAGATGTTGAGGCATGAAATTTCGAAAAACGCGCCAAGATGGGGTGACGGCAAGGCATAATAGAGTGTAAAATAGCGTTTCAGTATCAGTGTTCAGAAGTTCGCGCTTTCAAGATGGCGAACATTTCTCATCTCCTTATAAAGAAGGCGCCTGAGGCAAGTGCCAGCGAGAGTTGATACAAGAACCACGGCTGCTGGATCAATGCGCACAAGGTGCGGACTGCTGTGTGGAGCCGCCGAGCGTTGGGGACGGAGGGAGAGCGTTGCTGACAGTTCCGGCCGCAACTTTCAAGGGGGGTGCTAGAAGTAGGGGAGACTCTGGTGAGGCGCGCTATTGAGAGCGCGCTTTTACTGGACAGCAGTGCGAGTTTACGGGTAACGATAGTCGAGTCGTGTTAATTGTGACGTGATGTGCCCCTTACAAACCGAAGCGTAGGTCAGCTGGGTAGTTTGAGCGGCAGCATGCCAGAGAACTGTTTCGTTCCCCGGTGCACGTTAACGAAAAAAAAAAAAATAACCTCCCGATTTGGCCTACCATGAATTTCCATCAGATGCTGAACACCGACAAACTTGGCTCAGAATCATCTTCAGGCAGGGTACTAGAGGAAACAAAAGCAGGTGGGTACCTAGCGACGATTCTTTGGTTTGTTCCCGGCACTTTGCTGAAAATGACTACAAGAAAGGCACTAAACTGCAATTGCTCTTACCAACTGCTGTCCCAACGCTGTTTCCGAATTACCTGTTATATATATGCAAAAGATAAGCCCTCCTAGGATAAGGAAGCTTCCTCGAAGAGAAGTAGCAGAAGACAGTACATCAGTTCGCACGAACGAAAGTGCCCTAAGTGGCGGCGCAGATGAAAGCATGCATGGAGATGTCAAGCATGATTTCTTCAGCGAAGACGAACATGCTGCAGCTGCAGGATTTTTGGAGGGAACATCTGACTTTGCGCTGCCCACTGAGAGCGAGCAACAAACAAGCTCATGCTCGTGTACAGCTGAAATGACCCAGGCAGACCTTGATCTGAAACGAATAATGGAAGAGGCAAAGAAAAAAAAACGAATCTCCTGCCCCGGAAAATCTCCCGTCTGAAGAACTCACTGCAGACATTGCAAAGCGTGTGATACGGTTCGTGAACAGCTACAAGCTCTTGAAATCGACAAAGCAATTGCTTTTTTTAAAATTTTACTAAAAGCAGTGAACGATGGCCATAAAACTGCAGAAATTATCAACTAACAAAGTCTTGTATTTCTTTACTAAGAAGGCTGCCTACAGCAAACCAATTTTTAGAGAGTGTGCACTGTAGAAAGCATGTTCCAACCAAGGGTATACGAGTGTGTTAGGACAAGAAGCCTGTTTAAGTTACCTTGTCGCGCCACGCTACAAAATTATATGCCGGGCAGTCCACGAGTGAAATAGGTGTCACATCGCTGATAACAGAATGCCTCCGCGCAGAGCTATTAGTTCTACAAGTTGAACAAAAAGTACAATCGAACACAGTTATATCGCACCCGCATATATCGAACTCTCAAGTTATCCCCCTGAAATTCCTTTGTAAAGGTATAGAAATTCGCACGTTTATATCGAATGGTATTTTTACCCACCTTCGGATATATCGCGGCGAGCTGGAAGGTGCGCTTTGGCACTCCCCCCCTCCCCCCACTCGCCATCTCCACATGCAAGCTGGAAGGCGCGCTCCGCCAAGCACTGAAATGCTCGAAAAAAGGTAAGGGCAAGAGGGCTTGGACTGCACAATCCACGGCACAATCTCTAACTTGCGGAACGGCTTTTTTTTTTTCATTTCTCTTTCTCTCCTCGTGCTTTCTTTGCGTACATGTCGGCTCGAAGAGCGGGAACGAAGGAGCAGACGTCCTCCTCTTTTCACTTTTCCTTTTATTTATGTTGCTGTTTTCCGAGTTTTGATTAGCCAACCACTTATCGCGCCTTTTGCTGTTGCCCTCGCAGTGGCCATCGCCTTGCGAGCACTGTGTTGCTTCCGCCATCGCGACGCCTACGTACTACCGCATGTGCAGCATTTTTCTTTTGCGTGTGTGGTGTGCAAAGCTGCTGCGGACTCCTTGAATTGTCGACTTCTCGTGTAGCTATGGACAGCACCTACAAGCGCAAGACCCTTGACTTAGCGACGAAGTTGAAGGCGGGTGAGAAATGTTTGGCCATCGTGGATGACTTCGGGATACCACGGAGCACACCGAGTACCTTGTTGAAAAACAAGGCAGGTATCAAGGCAAAAGCAGTGGAGCAGTGAATGCCGGAGTCTTGTAATGTGAGCGCTTCTGCCTACGGGAATGTAGAAAAGACACTCTAGGCCTAGTTTTTAGAAGTGCGCACGAAGAACATTCTAGTGGATGGCCCGATTGTGATCGCGAAGGCCAAAT